CAAAGATATCCATTGATGTATAGGTTTAACCACGTTTGTCTCCAGCGCCTATCTGCAGGTCCCCCAAGCAGCATCCGGCTACTAAATATGAGTTACATGCAGGGAGTTGTGACTAGATCTGTATAATCAAAAGTGATTTCACTTCTAAATGACAGAGAATTGAGCTGTGAGGCTGCAGGGGTATGAACTATACGTCAAAACTGCTTAATTAAGCTATGTTTTGGTGCCTTTATTGTGCCTCTAACCTTGTCAATAAGATAATATTACTGTGTGATTGTCATACCTCGGTATGCCGTGCGGCACATGCTGTGCGGCACATGCTGTGCAGCAGCCATGAAGTCTCCGGTCCCACGCCGTCCCGGCCACGGTAAACACTATGCCGTGTTTGGTTGCACCACGTGCAGAGTAGCCCCTGCCTGATCGGTCTTCTGGCAAGACTTCCTGATCTTTTTGGCAGCCTTGCGCCACCTACCGGAGTCCTTGGAAATTACAGGACTCTGTAGGTGTAGGCTTTTTATAGCATTAAAGTGACAGGTCATATTATTGGGACACATCATCTGCCCTTCACAGGTCACACCCCTTTGTGCGATTTGGTGCAGGGTGATTATGCTGTCCAATAAGATTTTTGTTCTCCCTATTTAAACTTCCATCTTTCTGGAGATCATTGCCCTGTCGTTGCTTATTCTGCCCGAGAGTGACAACTGTGAAGTAGTTTTCGTTTTCTCGTTACTGACCTGGCTTTGTATTTGACTTTTCTGGTTCCCTGACTTTGGCTTGTTTTTTTTCATTTTTGAGTATATCTGGTGTTCTTGACCTTGGCTTGCTATTTTTACTCTGTATTTTTTTCGCTTATCTAGGGCGCACATTAACCCGGCCATTCTAAGGTCCGGTGTACGTACCTTCTCTCTTTTTTTTCTTTCATTCTGGTTACTGTTTCCCTATACTCTGTGTGTGTGGGTTACCCGATCTTGACACTGATGTAGGATGAGGCTTCTCAGTCTCATTTATATTACTTTTGTTTCACTTTGGAGGTTTGCTACTGTTTATATTGTGTGCATCACATGACAGTTGATCACATGATGACTGATTTCTCACTGGAGATGTGTAAATATAGAGCTATGGCATACCCTATGCTAACACCAGATTTGATTTAGGGGAAAGGTTGTAATAATAGCTATCTTGACTTTGCTCCAGTAAAAGAGGAGGTTTTTTTTTTTTTGTTCTTGTTTTTTTTATTTATTTACTCTTTCCCTGAGATTGTTTATCACAATAAAATAGTTGTTAATATTGTGACTCTTGATTAATATGTTAGTCCATATTTTGCAGAGGTCCTTTCCTGAGTGTGTGGTCAGTTGTGAATTATGCAGAATAGTGGATGAGCCGATTGTAAATAATTGCTCAGTTTTAATTTGTAAATAATTGCTCGGTTTTAATCTGTTTCACCCCTTAAGGACGGCAAGCGTACTATGCCGTCCTTGGGGAACCAATCCTAAGCTCCTTGGTTTCGCACCCCTCCCTGTCACAGGTGCCTCATTCCAGGACCCTATTTCGCCTTGACTTGCAGAGAGTCCCAGTAAGGAAGTATTTCCCAAGTAAGTGGATTAATCTCATAAGAGCAAGCATTAGGCTGCTAGATTTTAAATCATTGTTTAGTGAATAAGCGAGTGCGCTGGATTGTGTGTATATATATATATATTTAAATTCTACGTATATATTTATGTAATATTTTTACTGAGTTAAGTAATTTTATTAATTACGATTTGAGGGACCTGCCTGACAACCCAGGCAGAAAGTCCACAGAATTTGGTTCGCAAGCCCTATATTTAACCCTGTAACTTTCCAACACACCAGAAAACCTGTACATGGGAGACTTTGCTGAACACTAATATTAGTGTTTTTAAAACAATAAAACAAATCACAACGATGATATCGTCAGTTAAAGGGCCATTTTTTGCATTTTTCACACACAAACGGAACTCAAACGGACTATATCATTGTTGTGATACATTTTAGTGTTTTGAAACACTAATATTTCTGTTCAGTGAAGTCTATAACAGTACCCCCCTTGTACAGTGTTATGGTGTTGTCAAAGGTCACAGAGTCAAATACAAGGCTTGCATTTCTGTTTTTTTAAATTTGCCAGATTGGTTATGTTGCCTTTGAGACCGTATGAGAATTACCCCCATGATGGCATATCATTTACAAAAGTAGACAACCCAATGTATTACAAAGGGGGTATGTTAACATTCAAATTAGGTTTTTGCATTTTTCACACACAAACAAATATTGATGCTAACTTTGGCCAGTGTTTGTCACTAAGTGGCTACTAAAAAAGACTGGACATACCCCATTTGTAATACCTTGGGTTGTCTACTTTTGCAAATGGTCTGCTATCATGGGGGTAATTCTTATTCATGGGCTACCATTTGGTCTCAAAGGCAACATTACCAGTCTGGCAAATTTCAATGTGTTTAAACAGAAAAATGTAACGTGTTATATTTGACCCTGTAACTTACATAAAATCTATAAATGGGGGGTACTGTTTTACTTGTGAGACATCACTGAATACAAATATGTGTACTTTATTGCAGTAACAGCTAACAGTATTATGACATTCACATCTAAAATGCCATGCAAAACTAAAAACAGAACATTTCTTAATTTTTCATTTTGTTTTAAATATTTTATTCATATTAAATTATGTTTCCTATATTAAAGGGACACTATAGTCACCAGAACAACTACAGCTTACTGAATTTGTTCTGGTGAGTAGAATCATTACCTTCAGGCTTTTTTGCTGTAAACACTGTCTTTTCAGAGAAAATGCAGTGTTTACATTATAGCCTAGTGAAAACTTCACTGGCCACTCCCAAGATGGCTGTTAGAGATCCTTCCTGGGTCATGGCTGCCTAAAATGCATTCACACATTCAGTGTCTCCTCCCTCTGCATGCAGACACTGAACGTTCCTCATAGAGATTCATTGATTCAATTAATCTCTATGAGTAGATGCCGATTGGCCAGGGCTGTGTTTGAATCATGCTGGCTCTGCCACTGATCTGCCTCTTTGTCAGTCTCAGCCAATCCTACAGGGAAGCATTGTGATTGGATCAGACTACCACTTCTGATGATGTCAGCAGATGGCTTGTTTTTCTGAGGCAAACAGCATGCAGAGTTACAGCTTCAGGCTTGAATACAGTAAGATTTTGCTATGTTTATGGAGGCATGAGGGGCCCAGGGGGGCTAGATGGTGGTTTTAACACTATAGGGTCAGGAATACATGTTTGTGTTCCTGACCCTATAGTGATCCTTTAATATTTGATATGTTATGAAAGCCTGGTTTCTCCTAATTAAAATTATGTATAATATGTGTGGGTGCATTTAATATGGAAGAGGTAAATTATGTTTGAACAGACATATAGTGCAACTTCAAAGTTTTGTTTATGTTTTGATCTGAACTTGTACAACTGCCTAAAGGACAACATGTACCGCTGCCACTTACTTACAGATGGGCAGGTCCTTATGGGGCGTTGTCAGTGATGTGACTCGTCAGATCCATTACTGGTGAGGTCCATAATGGCGTGTCCACTCTTAAAGAGGAGGATCTTTGCACTGAAGGCACTGTCAGCTTGACAGAACCTGGTTTACATACCACATTTTAATACACAGACACATGCATTCTCTCACAACACACATACACATACATAATAAATATAAAGTTGTTTTTTACCCAATAATTGTTGAATAAGGATTGATAAAATAAAGGCAAGTCCAAAAGAGGTACTTGTTTTAAGATATACATTGGAAAGCTGTAAGGAAGACAAACAGTATGAGAGAGAGAGAGATGTAATAAAGGGAGAAAGTTGAGCAATAAATACAGGTAGCAGATTGCCGTAATAGGATATTAAAATGCAATAGCTTTCGGATAAGTACATAAACAGAATGGACATTTTTTCTTATTTTTTTTCTCTTCAATTTGTGGTTTGTTTGTTTTTCTAAAAAGAAAAAGACATATACCAAGCAGGTTTGATGGAATGTTACTAAAAGGTTATATGGTTAATATCTAGACAAAACTACCAACAGATAAAATTACCACCAGACTTGACAAAGGCTTGTTGTATGGCCAAAACGTTGTCTGTACTTCTGCTCTTAAAATAAAGTCTGCCGGTTGGTGTGCCAAGATATTGATGTTTCTTCTAACAAAAATAGTATATGCTTGGCTAAGAGATAGGGCGGACAAGTGATTACATGGGAAAATGGCTAAAGTAGGAAAAAAGGGGGAAGGGTTTACAGTCAAGACATATGCTAGTGCTGTAACACCCACCATTTTGTGCATCTACCGCATTGTACAAGTCAGTGAAACGTATGCATTAAAAAGGAGGCTGAGTAGAAACTACCTGCTATTTCTGCTCAGCCCTGCTTCCTCCTTACCAAATCAAAGGAGCGTTGTGGTCTGCACCATCGGATGCAGATCACTTTACGAGCCCCCTTACAGTACCAGTGCTACTCACTGACTCAGAGCACAGCAGCCAGCACTGGGAGTCATTGACTACATGGTCTGCAAGGTAGCAAAGTCATTTGCACCCAATAGAGGACCACTACTGCCACTGGACAACCACTGGACCACCATTGCCCTCCACTTGATCAGAAGTCTCTCACATACATCACTCTGCCATACTCTCCTCACCTCTACACATAACACTTAGCCTCCTTCACATAAAATCCAGCCACAACACACAGCCTCTGCCCCACACATACAGCACTCACTTCACACAACACTCAGCCACTATACAGAGCTACGCTTACCCTCCCCCTGTTCACACAACAATCAGACCACTCCATACACAGGTTACACTCCATAGACAAACTGTCCTCAGACACTACACACACACGTTCAACCACTCCTGCTTGGAGCTCTAGACAATCTTAATCCTGGTCTGTTTCCCTAACAGCTGTGCTTAACTGTGAGGAGGTGATCACACTTCAATTCCTCCAAGCAGAAAGAAAACTGCACAGAGATAACTTGCAGCTGCCTTGGCCTGCTGCCCTAGCCCACTCCCATCAGTCCCAGCCAGTACCAACCTGCTACAATTTCTGCAGTTATCTAATTGAAGCTTCAACCAGCCCCCTCTGGAGCCAAGACAAGTCAACCTCCTGCACTTAAAAGGTATGGAAACGGGGAGGTGGCCTACATATTTATGTTGTGACGTGTATACCATAGCATGCAAACAGAAATTGTACACAAAAAAACAACCTTTACACACAAGCGCATCCCTGCATTCAAATACCAACACTACACACAAATCACATTGTAAAGTGACCCCTTTATTTTTAAACAACATAACATAAAACTTTATAGAGAGAACAATCATGCGCCTAATATGAACCATGATGTCTCCATGGGTGCATTCTGAAGGATGCCCCAACACCAAAAGCATATTTTCTTAAATAATCATTGGGTATTATATTTTATATTCTGACTCAGTACACTATTTTATATTGTTCTACACATATAAGCTAATTTTTTATTTTTGTTTTAGAGGGGTAATGTCAGAGCTAATTAGAGATTGCATGATGATCCTGCTTTTGAGTAAGCAAATTTGTTTCCATAATTAATTACTCCAGAAAAATAAAATGTCAACATTTTAAACTATGTGCAGTTGCAAAAATACTAACACATTATTTCAACTGTTCTTTACACCCTAAATAATTCTAAAACAGAATTATTATAATTTTTGCTATAAGTGGAACTTTAAACAAATGAAAAGGGAGCAATCATGTACTATTGTAAACCTGTAACATTTGATGGTTGTACTTGCGCTGTGTATTTTTATGAGACTGGGAATCTCTGTCCCCCTGTATTCCTTGATGCAAACATCAAAAGTATATTATTGTTTATTTATTTCCTATATTCAATTCCCTCCTGGGTCACTTTACTCTGCAGTAGCCATTGAGTTCCATCTATAGTCTGCTTTAGATTGCAAAGAAAAAAAGTGATAAATAATTTTATACCACTCTGATCCTATTTGGAGTTAGTTTTTTCAGAAAATAACTAGAATAAAATATAAAACATCTCATCCACTCTAAAATGTTATTATTACTTCTCTGCTATAAAAAGATTTTCTATTTCTTCTTCTAACGAAACCTCATAAAAATTACCCGAAAATATTGTATCTCTTAGCTAATATAACACTGGACAATTGAATTGAACTTGCTGTGCAAATGTACAGCAGCCCAGCTGGTGCAATAAAAATTGTATACGCCATTGAACTTTATCTTTGAGCCAATTAACTCCCAAAGCAGTTAGTCACGTTACCCACCTCCTTTCTCCGTCTTATGAAATTCTTGTTATTATAAACGCATAATAGAATTTTACCACCAACAGTCAGTGACACTGATATATATAGTTAGTGACATTCACTGGAGCTATGTTTAATAGAAAGTGTAAAAATATTAACAGCATGCTACTGTATTAATCATACACATGTACATTCCAAATGTAGCAGTTACATATGTTTGTTTTATATTTGGTTATATATAATTACGGTAGAATGTAACATAAATGCAGGATTTCAGTAAAAATTTATATTCATTTTTGTGTTTAACACAATATTATATTAATTATTATTAATATCAAAATTGATTGGAGAAAAATACTCTCTTTTAGCATGTCACGTAAAATACCAAGAAATATATGCATATTTTAACTAACACGTCAATAACACCGTCAATTTAATCCCAGAAACAGTATAATTTAACCCCTTAAGGACCAAACTTCTGGAATAAAAGGGAATCATGACATGTCACACATGTCATGTGTCCTTAAGGGGTTAAAGGATTTTTTGAGTCTGAAATCATCTTTGACTCGTATGTAATTTTTAAAAAAACATTTAAAGGATTTTTATTGAGGAAATTCAGGATATACAGTGTAATACTGAAATAGCAATACAGATAGCTCAGGTAGTATAAAATTGTTATTCATGTCATACAGTAGCGGGTAATTTAATAAGATTACACATTATGGCAATACCTCACATCCTGGTTAACAAATTTGGTGCCTGTATATTCAACATGTTCTCGGATACTCTTTACCTGCAATTGTATGATACACGGCCTATGTGAGATCACGTGTACCCATGAGAGCCTTGGAGTAATCCCGTGCCCAAGGATACGCTGAGGGTAGCGTGTGAATGTTGGGTACCGCCAGTGTCCCAGTCCCTCAGCTTGGTGAGGTCTGTTAGATCTATGGTGGGGCAATGTAGTGTCAGCTTTCATCAAGGGCTGTATACCGTATGTTTAGGCAAGGAACAATAAACCGAGGTTATAGAAAAACAAAAAGTAGCCTGGGAGTATAGTCCGGTGGCTCAGCCGGGTCAGAACAAAGAAGTTGTGTGAGCCTGTTGCATCTTTGGAGTAGGAGATAGGAGATGGGGAAAGAGGGTCGTGAGTCGAGAGGAGGGGGAGAAGACCAGAGGGAAGTGCTGCGTTTCTGCATGAACTTTGGCCCGTCAGGGACGGGTCCGGTCAAGTATGGATTCGTTGTCTAGGAGGTCAACTCAGGATTCGTCCCATACCTCCTGCAAAAGTGTATATCTATGGGAGATGTAGGCATGGATCTCTTCCATGGTTTTGAGTGTGTCTACCTTAGCAATGCATTCCCTGACCGTTGGGGCAACAGGATTTTTCCTGTAATAAAATGTTATTATTACTTCTCTGCTATAAAAAGATTTTCTATTTCTTCTTCTAACGAAACCTCATAAAAATTACCTGAAAATATTGTATCTCTTAGCTAATATAACACTGGACAATTGAATTGAACTTGCTGTGCAAATGTACAGCAGCCCAGATGGTGCAATAAAAATTGTATACGCCATTGAACTTTATCTTTGAGCCAATTAACTCCCAAAGCAGTTAGTCACGTTACCCACCTCCTTTCTCCGTCTTATGAAATTCTTGTTATTATAAATGCATAATAGAATTTTACCACCAACAGTCAGGTTGGCTGCTGTAAGGAGGTGAGTAAGGAGAATGTTTTGTACCTTGGGGAGGGGGCAAGGTAGGATCATGAACACTAATGTATGTGGAGTGTGAGGCAGTTGTATGCCTGTCACTGTTTTGGTCATTCTCACTATATTGGTCCAATACCTTTGGGTTAGCGGGCATTGCCACCAGATGTGTGCGAGGGATGCCCCAGGTTGAAAGCACTTCCAACAAACATCCAGTGTGTTTGGGAATAAACTGTGTATTTTGGATGGAGAGTAGTGCCACCTGAATATTCTCTTATAGTCACTGTCCTGTATGTTGGTAGAGACTGATGTTGTGTGTATTTGTGAGAAAACAGTGTGCTGACTCGTATGTAATTTATCCTTTGATCAAAGAACCACAATCTGGCTTTGTGTAATAAAGTGTCACACAGGTGAATTGGGAAATATGACTGTTAAGGAAAATGAAAGAAGATACCAAGAGAGAACAGGTATATTCAACAAGATGGTGCGCATATATACTCCTATAGCTAATGAAATATTGTGATGATTAGAAATCAAAAGGATACGCAATGTGGCAGTTTATAATAAGAATCTATTACAACCCTTACAATACAATGCAAACGGCTTGTTTGTAGTTAACCTTTGGAGACAAACAATGAAACATCATAACAGTAGGTCAGTACACACCTGGTGTTACTGAGAGAAAAGAAGACAAATAACTGGCAATACTTAAATAACTATTGATATTCAGCAATACCTGCACAGACACATGGTATATGATAAAAGCTACACCACCGAAATTAACAGAACAGGGGCCCGCAATCCGTTTCAACATGTTGCCTATTGATACAGAGCACTGGCGTACATACCAGGGTCGCCACAGGGCCAGCCTCTTCCCCTGGGGGGCCCAGGAGCCGACCACCCCAGGGCCCCCCCGAGGCTGGCCCTGCTGACCCCGGGTGGCTGGTCGGGCAGGCAGGCGGGCGCGCGAAGGAGCACTCAGTGCTTCCTCTTCAGCTCCCTCGCGCACCGCAATGATACCGGAGCCGGAAGATGACGTCATCTTCCCGGCGCCGAATCCCTTTACGCTGGGCGCCGAGGAGCGCTGGAAGAGGAAGCACTGAGTGCTCCCTCGCTGCCGCCGCCGCCTGCCCGACCGCCACCCCGCCCAGGAGCCCAGCAGCAATGGACCCCAGGGGCTGGGACATCCCCAGCACTCCAAGAGGCAAGGAGGCTGGGGATTATATTAAAAAAAAAAAAAAAAAATCATGTGTGAGTGTTAGTGTGTGTGTGTGAGTGTTAGTGTGTGTGAGTGTTAGAGTGAGTGTGAGTGTTAGTGTGAGTGTTAGAGTGAGTGTTAGTGTGTGTGAGTGTTAGTGTGAGTGTGTGTGAGTTAGTGTGTGTCTGCTAGTGAGTGTTAGTGTGAGTGTTAGTGTGTTAGTGTGTGTGTCTGCTAGTGAGTGTCAGTGAGTGTGTTACTGTGTGTCTCTTACTGAGTGTGTGTGTGTTAGTGAGTCTGTTTGATGTCTGTTAGTGAGTGTGTGTTTGTCAATGAGAGTGTATGTTTTGTAAGTGAGTGTGTATGTATGTCTGTCGCTGACTGTATCTCTGTCAGTAAATGTGTGTGTCTGTTAACTAGTGTGTATGCGACTGTAAGTGTGTGTGTGTGTCTTCAGCACTTACCTTTCTCCAGCGCCGGACTCCCTTGGCGCTGAGGATCCCTCAGCCTCTCAGCTCCGAATGCGACCGCGCACGCATTCAAACCGCCCATAGGAAAGCATTACTCAGTGCTTTCCTATGGACGTTCAGTGTGCTCCTCTAGCGGCTGTCCGTGAGACAGCCACTAGAGGCTGGATTAACCCTCAGTGAAACATAGCAGTTTCTCTGAAACTGCTATGTTTTCAGCTACAGGGTTAAAACTAGAGGGACCTGACACCCAGACAACTTCATTGAGCTGATGTGATCTGGGTGTCTGTAGTGGTCCTTTAAAGGACCACTATAGTGCCAGGAAAACATACTCGTTTTCCTGGCACTATAGTGCCCTGAGGGTGCCCCCACCCTCAGGGACCCCCACCCGCCCGGCTCTGGAAAGAGGTAAAACTTACCTTTTTCCACCGCTGGGCGGAGAGCTCTCCTCCTCCGATCCTCCTCTTCTCCTCCCCGTCGGCTGTATGCGCACGCGCGGCAAGAGCTGTGCACGCATTCAGCCGGTCACATAGGAAAACATTCATAATGCTTTCCTATGGACGCTGGCGTGCTCTCACTGTGAAAATCACAGTGAG